GATTTCTTCTAAAGTAGACTGTAGCTTCACAAGTTCTTCAGTTTGGGCTTCTTCTATCCTAGCCGCCTCCTTTGCTTTCTCGTGCTCTCTCATTAGCAAATCTTTGGTCTCTTGAAGGTGAAGTTGAATTTCTTCCAAAGCAGACTGTAGCTTCATAATTTCTTCAGTCTTGGCTTCCTCTATACCAGCCTGTCAGAAGTCCAATTCGCAACTCATATTCCAAATTGTTGCCACAATAATAAACAAGCTCACTAAGCTTTAATCACAACCTAGTTAGGCTAGCAACATCGATATGTGAAATCAATCACAACAGTTACACTTTTTAACCTTAACATCTGGAGGCATTGACAAACATGTCTAAATCTATCAAAGTTTGTTTCCTCTATTAGAAAGTGGCACCACTTGTCCATTTTTTAATTAAATATTATGAATTTGTACACAACTACACATACATAATAGCATACATATCATGATTGCAGCTATTTACACATATTCTGGTTCTTTACTGCCCAACATTTGTGCCATGAAGAACAAATGGCTTAGAATTTGCAAAACAACAACCCCATCATAATCCAAATCACGTTGGGGGTGGGGTCGGGGGGTCAAAGATGTATGCAACCTTACGGCTGCAAAAAGCAGAGAGGCTGTTTACGCTAGACCCTTGATGCCTTTCCTACCCAAAACATTATACAAAGTAAGAAGCAAAGGAAGTTCAATGTGATATTTTGATTTAATCCATTATTTACCCCAAGCTAAAGCATTGTAAGAATGACTCTTTTAGCTCCATTGCAATGGGCATAGCATAGGATTATAATTCTCCTCTATCTCAATTAATTAGAAGGCATTACAAAAAGAAGCAAGTAGATCAATACTTAATACTAGTTTACACTTAATACATGATGGAAATAGTTAAACTTGCTGGGTATAAATTGAAAGCAGCCTTATAAATTTCTAGTGCATAAAAACATATATCAAATGTCATCAATGGACCAGATATCGACTATCAAAGTATCGAGTCAAGTGCCCATTGAAGTTACATGCACACCCGCACACATGCACCCATAGACCTGGCAATCGGTTCAGGGTCAGGTCGGGTCGGTTCAATTCGATTCCGGGTTTAATTTGGTTTGATTTTTTCCGATGTCAGTTTGGTCTCGATTCGGTTAGCGGGTTTATAGTGGTTCAGGTTTATGCCGGTTTCAGATGAGATCCCTTGGTGTTAGAGTTCCTAATGTTAGCCTTGTGTGAAGTCTACCATCCCTATGTGTAAAGGGGGTTATATATACAAGTGTCACCAATAATGGGCCAGTATATCTAACAATGTGTGTTACGATGTCACTATAAATTATATATACTCTTAAGTCACTATTGAGCTATGAGGTTTGATTGGATTTGAGTTTAATTTATTTTGAACTTGATCAATATCTGGTCTAATTGGTTTCGGTTCTAATCGGTTATGGGTTTAGTCGGTTCCGGGTTTAACCGGTTCGGGTTCAATCGGGTTCGGATCTGAATTGGGTATGAATACATTCGGTTTGGTTTTGGTTCGGTTCAGATCATTTCGGGTGTTCGGGTATAATTTGGTTCTTCAAATTTTGGGTCATTCCGGATTCGGTTCGGGGTTATTCGGTTCGGGTTATCGGGTCTGAGTCTGTTTTGCCAAGTCGATACACCCTCACACGGAGGTGAAATACTGTTCATGTTTCTCCAAGAAGCTTCCTTTAATAGTCCGAAAGTATGAAATGCCCTCACCTCACAAAATTAAATATTTTCTGTGTCAGTGTTTTGCATATCTTGGACCAAATTTGGCGCATTTTAAAAAATCAAGGGACTAAAATTTATCCAATTCATAGCCCATGACCAAAAGTAGCATGAAATCGTAGCTCAGCATCGTCCTTATGACCTCACTCCCAATTTCTTGTGATTGGTGGTGTTAAATATATAGTGCCAACTAACAACAACAACCAATTGTATAAAATTAATTAACACTATTATTTAATGCAAAATACAATGCCATTGTTTCATGTCGAATACCCTTTTTTCTCAAGAACTTCCAAGGAAGAAAGAATGAGATGAAATTTTTTAATCTGTCACCAACAACAAACCCAGAAAAATCCCACAAAAAGGGTCTGAGGGTGTGTGCATGCATGGAAAATATCATGACACAGCGACGAGTTGAATATTTGATAGCATCATGCCCTATCCACACTTTATGTGGCCAGATAAGCACCCCGAGAGAATTAAATAAATAAATATAAAATAAAATAAAATAAATTTCAAATACACATATTTACCCTTATGCGCTTTTCTAGCTCCAATTGTGAAGAGAGTTCTTCAACTTGCTTTTCCAGAATACTATTGGTGGCTTGCAAAGCAGCTGCTTCTTTTGCAGCCTGAGGCAAAAACATGGCATTCAACACACGATGAAATTCAGGCTTGCACCAATCATACATAAGTTCAAATCAAGAAGGAAAAGATTTATAAGGATTGCTACTTTTAGTGGGAAAAGCTTTATTGCCTCAATTGTTCGTGTTAGTTCAAATACTTGAACCAGAAATCCAGAATATGCATTAAAGTATGGATTTCCTTAAATATTAGTTATAATCTTGGCTAAAACTTGAGGATATTATCCCCTATCAACTTACAGATTCATCACTCTATGGCCAAACTCCAAAGATAGTGTGGCAATCTCACCCCAATCATAGGTATATGCAGCTTATATTCCCTTGCTTGGAAACTCATGATGCAGGATAGGATTCAATTACTTAAGAAAGTAATATTTTTTAAAAAAACAAAGATTAATACAGTTCATTTAAGTATTTGAGAAAGGAAAAATGATCATCTAAGTTCTCTATCTTGACAGAATCACTCGCATCTTGGATAAGTAGTCACGTTAACTGATCCTCCCAAATATAATTCACAACATATTTTTAAAGCATTGCATCCACAAGTCAACGATGCAAAAGACATGTAGGAACCGCTTTAGTCTGATCTAACTATCAATGCAATGCTCAAGCATACATACGTTGGACGAGAAAGCAATCCTCACAAGTCACAACATTAACATTGAAACAAAAATTTTCATTCTACGGTCAATCCATACTTAAAACTGGAATAACCACTGTGTGTTACCATTCGGTTAAATTTAAGGGAACAATTTCCAATAGCATTCCTGCAAACAAATGTGCTTGGGTTTCTTCTTTAAAGAAAACGAGGATACAAGATCTCACCATTTTAAGTTTGCGCAGTTCTCTGCGAGCAACTCTTACCCTCCATGCACACTGGGTGGTAACCGCTGCTTTCTTCATTCTCTTGTAATGAATGCGAGCCACGAATCCACAAAAATGACTCTGAAAACAATGCTGAGATTAGACTAAATAAGCCTACACAAAGATGGAAACTTGGTGTACCTGATACCTATACTCCTGTAGAGAAAACTCTACCAAATCTGTATGTACATAAGCAATCTATTTTCATTATTTTGTGAGAGAAGTAATATACTACATTAATTCAAAAAGCATGAAAGAAAGGAACAGTTTCAGCATTGTTGCCATTGTTCATTCTCATAAAGTGAGAAATAAATGAGGCCCCAAAAAGAGGCTCCCATAACATGTTGAAAGGAAGGAGTTTCTTCACCTAACTGAGATGTATCAAAATTTTTGGAAAGACAACTGAGGTAAATAGGAGCTATCAATAGAAAAAACCTATACTATCAGTACATTGGAACCTGGACAGCCAGTACTGGAAATATCAGTACATGGAAACTCAGACAAATAGTACATGGAACCTAGACAATCAGTACATGAAACCTAGACAATCATAATAAACAATTCGACAGGATTAATGAGTAATATGAGTTCTACCTTATAAGACTTTAAAGGTGTACCTTGGTCAAAGTGAACACTTTTTTGAGACAGAGGTAGTGCTTGGTAACTTTATGTAACAAATACAAAACAAAAATTTCTAGAACCATTTTACCTGGATAGTGATGGCTGCTTTTTCTTTTCTTCTATAACTAAGCTCATTACAAGCCGCCATGCCTCGTAGTCCTGTCTGGATGGAAACAACAGAAATGCAAAGCAACTTGTAAGTTTTCTTTGCAAGGAACATACGTCCAAATTTTCCAATCATCAAAGAAGCCATATCTCTCCTCTTCCATTCATAGAAGTC